CAGAAAGATAACTAAGGCTTGTGCCATGTTCAATGAAGGAGAAAGTCCCATTGAAAGGACCGGGAGAAGCCACATGCTGTAGTGGAATGAGCAAGTCCAGAAATCCTGCATCTTTAGCTCTGGATGTCACATTGCTTTTAAAATGAGAAGAGGCACCACCTATGTTACCAGAGGACTATAAAAGTTAGGTATTATCTTTCTACCCACATAACATTGCGTAAAACACGGTGGCCCATCCCCACAACGGTAACTAACTCTCTCCAGCATCATAACTATGACAGTAATTTGACACCCCACATGGAATAACGCGGTATTCATTTATAGCTGAGTTGACAGTGGTTGTCCTTCACCACAGGTCAAACCCGTGCCTTTGGATCTCGCTTGTCTGTGACACCAGGACAAATAGTATATGTACCTGACAAGTGATAAATGCAATGTTATTAGTGCTGCAGGGGAAGTGTGAGAGCAGCCGTACAGCTGCTGCTTCTTTCTAATTTGAAAACATCAACCTATCAGGCCAGGTGCTGGCAAAGATGCAGTCTTTTTTTGTAAGATCTAAAATGGATGTTCTCGCTGTGATGGTCGTTAAAGGTCCTTAAAGTAGGCAAAATGTAGGAAGGCTTAGATAGCCCTGGAGTTTGTGCAAAATTCAAAGCCAGATAATAATACACATACGAATTTCAGCTAGCAAAAGGCTACTCTATCCTATTATGTCATTTCTGAGGCCTGCTGACAAGAAATTTAATGGAGATCAAAGCACTTTCAGTAGAAAGATCCCTTCTGAGATTGTATTTATATTTATTTACAGCCTTTATGTCATCTTAAAGCTACTCTCTCCTGGAAGAAAGGGTCTACTAAATTTATTGGAAAATAGTAATTTTTGCTTGAATTCTGTAAAAAGGTTTGATTTTCTTTTTTGATTACTGTTAGTTCATGTACAGTGCAGGCATAATATCTCTGTATTTCCTTTGATTCTGTCATCCTGCTCTAATGACTAATTTGGGAAGGTATAAACATCTATTTTAAAAAAAAATATAATCTTAGCTCCAAATAATTGTCTTCACAATGAGAAATGAAAGGGCTTGGTTGTGGTGCCCACAAAGACACACGACACCAGTGCTTTTGCAGCACAAATTGTATGTGGGTGTGGAAAGGTGCCCATTTTTTTAACATGCTGAGATGTAGTGCCTTGCTGGGAAAAGGTGCTGATGAGTGCTGGCTGCTTTGTCCTTCACTCCAAAAATAAGGGCAAAGTGAAGCTATGCCATGAATTTCAAAGGAGCCCAGAGTTCCTTCCCTGATCTGGGACACCACCCATTCCTTTAAAAGCAACAACAAAAGCTACATAACTGGCATTTTTTTAAGCCTCAGAGTCTTGCACCTCC